GAGACCGGCCTGCCCGCCCGGCCCAGGTGGGAGCCGCCTCCCTCCCCGGGGCAGACCCACGCGCGACCGTGAACGGGACGGGCTCCCCTTCCCCGAGTGGACTCGGCTTTGGCGTCGAGGCGCACGGAGGGGACCCCGGGCGCGCGGTGCGCCCTGGCCGTCTCCTCCCCTTGGCCGCTGCGGCTTTGGGGGGCCGGGGCCGGGGCCGGAGCGGCGGAGTCGCCCCTTTCCTCGTTCATACCCGGGCAAAATCATCCTCATCTTTTGAAGGTCTGAAGGAGAAAGGGGAAGAGAGAGGCCATCCAGTGGCACCAAGGGAAGGGGGACGGGGACTGGCGCTTCGTGGCACAAAGGCTGCCTAAACCCGCGGCTCCCAACCTTGGCCCCCCCCGGGTGCCCTTGGACTGCAAGTCCCAGAAGCCTTCACCCCCTCACAGCTGGGCGGCCCCCCTGGGGGTTTCTGGGAGCTGCAGTCCAGGAACATCTGGGTGACCCAAGGTTAGGCACCGCTGCCCTCCATCGACAAGGTGCCGCTCGCTTTTAACTCCGTGGCCCGAATGTCACGCTCAAGAGTTCGCAAGGTACTGAGCGAGTCTCTCACTGAAACAGCCCAGTAGCTGCAGGGATGGCATTCGGGGAGCCCTCCTCCAGGGGAGCCTTCCCAGGAGGAAGTTGGTCTGTGGCCCTGGGAAGAAGGAGGAGAGATGCTAAAAGCCACCACCCAGCTTGACAGCCCCTTCAATGAAAGAAGACCCATTGGTTCTGATGAAGTTTGAACCTCCATAAAAAACTGAAGACATGAAACAACAGGGCCAGCTGATGGATCCGGCATAGGATCAGGGCACCTTACTCCGAGCAGCTTTAACTCAGAGGCACCTTTGATATTAGGAACTAGAATAACTAACCTTGTCTGCTGACCTTATCGAGGTAAGAAAAATAGTAGTTTCCCATTGCTGCCTTCCGCACAGTACTAACAAGAGTTAGCTTGAGTGTCACTGGTTTATCCCGTCTGAAAACTTAGCTAGGCAATTTGATCTGACAGACACGTTTTTGATGCCTCTCTGAAGAGGCAGATGCCCCCCCCCACCCATGGGCTGTATATCGATCAGTTGTCTTGTGTGCTCCCAAAAAATCGGGCAGCCTCATCATGATGTATTGCAGGGATGGCTGCACTAAAGTTAGATCAGGGTCACTTGGATGATTTGCGGTAGATAAGGAATGCCTCACCTCCCAGATGCTTACCATGAGTTCGCAAAAACATGTCCCTCATCTACACTGGAGAAATGAGGAATCGGGATAGCCCAACAGTGTGTGAAAGAACTGTGTGCTCAATTCAGCTCTGACAGTGGGAAGAAAAGTAGGATAGTCAACGTATATTTTTTCACCTTTGTCCTGATAGATTTGGATGCTCTACTTTAGTTTTGACAATCCTGAGGTCTATGCTTTTGATTTTTGATAATCGTAAATAATTTGAACTTCATCTGTTCACAGCAGTTGAGTAAGTCTTGATCTCACTCTATTGTCTCTCTAGCACTCTGTACCCAACTATGATTATTATTATTATGTGCCCTAGCAGGGCGTTTAAGGTGAGTAGGATATTTAAGGAGTGGCTCTGGCAGTTCCACAAGCTCAGTCAGTTTCCATGGCTGAGGGGCGGGTGGAATTCATACCCCTGGTCTCCAGAGTCCTAGTCCATGACTCTCCACTAGACCATGCCGGGTATCCCAACTATGATTAGTAAAATGACAATTCCAGTGCAACAATAAGCTATTTCAAAAGCAATGGCTGGACTCCTATCACCTGCTTAGAACTCCAGCCACATCAATTTCAGCAGCAGATTGCCACAAGTTAATACAGGCATTTGCTCTCGCACATGGGAGTCACACGACACTGAGTTCATCTGCAGAAATTTGCCAAAGAAATTAATGCCGGCAGAATTATGCTGTCAGACATAAATAAAAATTTTAAATAAAAAGGATTTTCAGTAGAGCTGCCCCCCAAAATACTCAAAACTATTTCCAAATTACCCTAGTTTCTCACTGTCAAAATTCCCCCTTAACAGGGACTCTATTTTCTCCCATGCCTACGCCGTGTATTGTGTAAACCAAAGCCACAATTTCTGAATGTGGATTCGGCTCGGAAACACTATGAAAATGTATTTTGTATTTAGGGTATTGGTTCTTGCATGCAAAGGTCGCCATATGATACATTTACAGTAAATATTCTCAGTTTTGCATCAGTGCTTCAGAAAACACAATGGACTACAAATCACAAACTTTCTTTTAATAAAGCTTTTAAAATAGCACAAACATCTGTACTTAAAAATGCTGTGTCCAGAGTGAGCACCATACGCACAAGGAACTGTTCAATGCTGCCAAAACTTCCTGGAGATTTTTAGACTATATCTCTGCCATCGAGAGAGTGTATCTTTCTTGTTCCCCTGTTTCGTTGCCCTAGAAAAGGTAATTTTTTAAAAAAAATAGAGGAGGACCAGTCTCTATTCTGGAGCAGAAGAGGCAGCTCTTCTTAGGGTGTCAGCTTTAAAGAGTGTCCCAGCAGCTCCCAATCAAAGCATCAAGACATAGTGGGGACGAGGAAACAAATGCTTGTCCTCAAGAACGGAATTCAAAGACTCCCAAATTCAGGCAGGCAAATCGCCTCGGGCAGGCAAGCTTCGCTGAACCGGCAGCTAGTCTCTTCCAAAGCAAGCCGTGTGGTGTCGAAAAACCAAGCTAGTTTTCCTTCCTCTTTCTAGATGATGAAAAAGGAAATGTGAGGGACGTGCTTGCAGATCTGCGTGCCAACAGCAGCGCTTGTCTTTCAAAACTTTTTGAGTTCAGTAGACAGTCTTGCCGAGAAGGTAGTGCAGCTGTCTTTCGAAACTCTTAACCTCAGCAGCTGCTTTATCTTTTGTGGCTGAACACAGCTTCTCAGACGGCCCGTGGTATTTGCTGCAGCCAGGGGCCTAGGACCTTCCAGGACGAGAAGGCCAGAGATGGTGCTGCTGGTTCATATGGGCATGTTATAACCCGTTCTTTGCCACAAGGGAGCAGAGAGCCACCTCTTCATCAGCCATCTGCAGGACATCTCAGAGGTAGGGAATTGTCCAGCGGCATTGAAGGGGGAGTGTCAGGTGCCTGCCAAGCTGCTTTGAAGGCCTGGGAGTGGGTGCACGCAACCTCCAAACACCCCAGGTTTCTGCACTCCCACGGAAGGTCACCGTATGCTTTGCAGATGTCTGTCCAGAAACTGGGAGTAGCAGGTCAGAGAGCAGAAGTAGCGGAGGATGGGGGCCTCTGTGCCCCCCCTGCTATCCATCAGGACAACTGTATGTGACACACTGTGTAGATTCACAGTCACAGTTGTCTGAATGAAGCTGCTCAAGCAGGCGTGCCCACACTGGCAGGTCTTCGCCATGTCCAAATCATCGCAGAGGTGAAAAGGAAGAATGTGGGAGTCATATGGGATCCTATAAAAGAAAACCAAGATTAGGAGTGAATTTATTGCTCCGGATGGCCAGATTCAGTTATCTGAAGTACTAATAAACATGCTGTTGTATAATTATTTATATTTATTTACTTCATGTATATGCTACTTTTCTCCCACAAGTGCCTTATGTATAACTATCTACACACAGAGCAAGCACCCAAAACACAGTTCCGACTCAGATTCGGGAAAACAGTATCTGAGCCTTCCCCATTAGTAGACAAAGATCCTCTCTACCTGGTAAAGACTTAACACTTAGGGTTTTTTTTTTGAAGGATGTAAAAATGGCACAATTCATGGTACCAGTCATTTTGTTTGTAGTGACCCACAAAACTAGGTAAGGAAAATGAAGCCAAATAATATGCTTGCAACACAAGATGGAAAACAAAGGATAGCAAATAATGAATTTGCACTCAACATCATTCCCATTACAACAAAGCTAAAACATGTGCTAATTTGCCAGCCTGACAAAAATCTTTTCATGTCCCTCTTATAAACCACCCCCAGAAAAGAAATCTAAAAGCAAGTACTTCTGTTTGTGCTTAAATAATAATCTGGGGAAACAGGATCCGATGGCTACAGATACGTAACAATGATGCATCAAGAACAGCACATGAAACCCTTAAAAAAGATGGGTGATTGACCAAGCAGTTTTTAATTCCAATACAGTGGTGCCTCGCTTTACGATTGCCCCGTTTAACGACGAAACCGCATTACGATGAACTTTTTGTGATCGCTTTTGCGATCGCAAAACAATGTTTCCTATGGGGGAATTTCACTTTGCGATGATCGGTTCCCTGCTTCGGGAACAGATTCTTTGCAAAACAACGATTTTCCAACAGCTGATTGGCAGTTTCAAAATGGCCACCGGGTAAACAAAATGCCCCTCCCGCTGTTTTCTGGGACGGATTCCTCGCTGCATAGGCAGCGAAAATGGCCGCCCTGTGGAGGATCTTCGCTGGATGGTGAGTTTATAGCCCTTTGGAACGCATTAAACAGGTTTTAATGCGTTTCAGTGGTTTTTTTCTTTTTGCATTACGACGTTTTCATTATATAGCGATTTCGCTGGAATGAATTAACGTCATAATGCGAGGCACCACTGTAACTTTATGAGGGCTGGTGCAACAGGAGTCAGAAAGACCACCGTTCCTTGTGTGACTTAAAATTTTCTTAGCTGTAGCCAACAGCTCTTTTAACTCTTTAGCCTCCATTTGCAAAATGATTGTATCACCACTTTATTATTGAGAATACACATTTAGAGCTTAGAATATCACGAATGCACTTAACTCTTTAGCCTCCATTTGCAAAATGACTGTATCACCACTTTATCATTGAGAATATACATCTAGAGCTTAGAATACCACGAATGCACAATATTGCTACCCTGCCCCTCTAGGCCATGTCTACTCGTTCTATTGTGTTCTATTAAGCAGCCTCGTGGTTAAACTGCAGTACTGCAGCCAAAACTCTACTCGTGACCCAGGTTCAATCCCAGGTAGCTGGCTCGAGGTTCACTCAACTTTCCAATGTTGGTCAATTGAGTTCCCTGTTGACTGGGGAAGCACTATGTTATTCCAAGACTAGTCTTGCAGGAGCTTTTAGGAAAAGTCATAATCCATCCCAAAATTCTATGGCTGACCTCCTGTTGCACTGGCGACGCAGCCAGGGCTTCTGGGAACTCAGGTCTAAAACATCTGTAGAGACACAGCTTGAGAAACACTGCCTACATAATTCAGAATCCATGGCTCCCCCAGTCTGTAGAGTCCCCGCCCCTAATCTTTCCCACATTCAGACATTTTAAAAAAAGCTGAGGGAGACAGACTGGATGGGGGATGGCCTTCTTTACCCAAAGACTGACTCTAATGGGGTGGTGGTGGTGCTAACCTAAGGTTAAGAACCACTGGTCTAAAACATTGTAGAGACACAGCTTGAGAAACACTGCCTACATAATTCAGAATCCATGGCTTGCAGTGTTTCGACAGCTTCCCCCCCAGTCTGTAGAGTCCCCGCCCGTAATCTTTCCCACATTCAGACATTAAAAAAAAAAAAAAGCAGAGGGAGACAGACTGGATGGGGGATGGCCTTCTTTACCCAAAGACTGACTCTAATGCAGTGGTTCTTAACCTTTGTTACTCGGATGTTTTTGAACTGCAACTCCCAGAAACCCCAGCCAGCAGTTGGTGGTGAAGGCTTCTGGGAGTTGCAGTCCAAAACTCCCAAGTAACCCAAAGTTAAGAACCAGTGCTCTAATGGGATGGTGGTGGAGGTTAAAGCTAGGTTGGTTAATCAGACCTAGTGAGATGGGGGGCCAGGAGGTTAAGCCTACCACTACAGCAATTGTGATAAAAACTATTAGGACATGGAGCGTGAAACCCCTCCCACTGTACTGCCCAGTTATGTGGCCTCTGTAGGACTCCACAGGGGTCAAGGCAGTCCTTCAACTCGCTCTACGCCACCAACAGCATCTCCCAAGGCTTTCAGACAAGGGACTTTCCTAACCTTTCCTGGATATTCTTTGTATGTAGAACACGTTAGAACAGAAAAACTTAAGAGCCCTGTACTGGATCAGGCCAAGAGCCCCTCTAGTCCGCTTCCTGTCTCCCACAGTGGCCCCACCAGATGCCCCATGGAGCTCACGAGAGACCACAAGATCCCTGTCTCCTGATCCCCCTCCCCTGCCTCTGGCATTTTGAGGTATCTTCCTTTTAAGACCGGAGATTCAATATCCCCATCATGGCTTGTCACCTACATGTACTGTATAACAGCTTTTTCCCTAAGTCTCTGGGAAAGCTAGAAAATACTGGAATCATAAGGAAAAGCCAGAAAAAACAATCCACCAGAACCCTACCAGTGTCAGCTTAAAGTCTGCATAACTGGATGTGAAAAATTGCAACTAGCAGTCAAGAAGTTTGGGTATCTCTCTGTTATGCAGTTGGATACAGGATGACCAAGCCAATGAGGCACAATCAGCCATGGCAAGTTATGCAGGCTTTCTACAAACAGCAAAAGCTCTCTTAAAGCTTTTCTGAAATTCATGTACAGGATTTTTCTGCTTCCTTTTTATTAGAATTGTTCCTCCTGCCAGTTGAAGGATGGACACGGAGTGAAAAAGAGCCACCAAGCTAGTCCTAAGGCTGTTACCTGGAATTGATTACTGTTCTTGCAGAATATTCTAATAAAGTCAAGGGTATTTTCAGCTGCATGTCAGGAACAAGGGGCATAGGCTGCTGAAAAGGATTGCCAAATAAATCTAGGAACTCGAGAGAAAGCTTTCCAAAACCACTGGGCAAAAACGGGAGCTTATTACGAGCTACGGACAGGGAACGGAGTTGACTCAGTTGACCGATCTGGAACGGCAGCCTAAGTAGATTGTTGTCATCTAACTTGAGGTGAGTCAGTTCCCGCAACTGGCAAAACTGGGCTGGAAGCACTGCCATTTTATTCTGACTGAGATCCAGAGACTGGAGTGACTTTCGGAGACTGGAGTTACACAGAGCCACGCTGAAGGACTCCAGCTGATTGTCCTGAAGATTGAGCTCCTGAAGATACGCAAGGTCTCCCACAGTTGCTGGCAGCTTTTTAATCCGATTGTGGCTCAGGTCCAGTTTCCGGAGGCTTTTCAGACAAAGCATACGCATATCCACATGGGCTAATTTGCAGTAGGAGGCTTGGAGATGCTCCAGCGTATATGGGAAGTTCTGAGTTAAAGGATAATCCTTCTTCGACAGTATGGTCATTTTAGACTTTGGTTTCTCAACTTCAGAAGCTTTCGGTGGAATTAAAGCGGAGAGTGGTAAATTTTCTTCACCGGTGCCTCGGTGAGCCAGCTTCACTGCAGAAAGGAAAGTCTTCAGCTGGCTGACATTTGCCTGTAGATAAAATAGCACACAATGGTAACTGACATTCACCATATCATTTTTTCTGAAACATCTTCTGAATTCTGACACAAACATGTCCATGTGCACCAGAAAGCAGCTAGCCGCTGGAAAGCGGAAAGGGAACACATAATTTCTCTTTATTTGGCATTGTTTTCATCAAATGTAAATGATACTGTCACTGTGGTAGTAAGGGAGGTCTGGGATAAAACTGCCCCGATGTTAAACACTGGCTGTAAAGACAGAACAGATAGCAATCTGAGCAGAAAGCAAAAACTTCAAAAAAGTACTTCTAGGAAACAAAGTTCAGGGGGAAATGTACAAAAAGTATCACCATACTTTTTTTATGAACAACCTTATACTGTAAAGTAAATCACTTGTTACTTTGGATAGTAAATTTAAAATTTCACTTCAAGTTGTAGGATAATTTAATCATTGTACGTTTTAAGTGTTTCAGAAACTTTACTTTCAATTCCATAATTATGTATGAATTTAAAACACTGGGATAGCAGCTATTGCTAGTATTGCAGAAAGCCGCCTTCAGTCCTGCTTTGGGGAGAAAGTAGATATCTCAAATGAATGAATGAATGAATTTATTAAACAATATCGCCCTAGTTCTGTTTGTCAGCTTAAGACACCAAAAATACACAAAATGCGTGGGAAGCCTTCGCTTTATTTCTTTCTCTGTGAGACCACCAAGATGTGACAGAAATCCTCTTGCTATTTCTTTACTTAACAAGGGCCAGAGAATAAACCTGTGAGATTCCTTTCCAGCTGCCTCTGTACTCCAAGGAACCAGGCGCAGAGGTTTACGGGTCCGACTCCATCCAGGGCCGCCGAGACCCATAATCTGTCAATACGAACCAGGTGGGGGAGTACAGGATGAACGTCTGTCCCAAGTTCGATCCTACCTTGCTGAGACGGACGTCGACTGCCGGCTCCTTCAGCCTCACAGTGGCTTTTCCTTCCTCCACAAACTTGGCAAAAACCTGTTCCACATTCTCTCTCAGCTGTTTTTAAAGAAAAGGAACATATAAGTTTAGGGGAAACATGCCCTGCTGAAGCAAAAACAACAAACATGCAAAATCCCCATGATCTGGGTAGTTGCTAACCAGATGCTGAGGCCACAAAACGGTCAAGAGGAGAGTCACAATCCTCTTCCTTCGCCAGCAAGGCAGTTCTCACATCTGGACCAACTGCACCTTGCGTCTCTCCCCTCCGTCACCCCTATTGTCCAGTTCACCCCTCCATGCACTGCTGGAATAGCCCCGATAGGACAAAGAACTTCAAATCAATGGAGAGGAGAAGGAAGCAGGAAGCCCACCAAACCAAGCACCGAAGCATCCATATTTGACAGGGGCAACTTTAGACAGGATCATAGTTTCATACGTTTCCGTCTAACACGGATACCATACACGCACGCAGAGGAGTGTTCTTAGCGAAGGAGTGAGAAGCACCTTTCTGGCTAAAAGCCAGAGTCCAATTCAAAGATACTGAGATGGTTTATATCATAGGTTTTGGGGGTGGGGGCTAGAGCAAAAGGAGGGCAGGGCCACAATCACCGTAATTCCTTTAGCTTGGGACTGGTACTACCAGTAATTAAATCTCAGGAGAGCCATTTCTCGCCTTCTGAATAATATGTGTAAATGTGTGTGCGCGCGATTACGATTCCTTCTGAATAGTCGGGAAATACGATGGGGGGCGAGGAGGGACAGAGACTTTCCTGACAGAGACTTTCCTGTTTGTGGAAACGAGGGCAGGGGCTCACGTTTCAGCCCATCTCCTCTGCCCTGCCCTTTCTGAGCCCCTGCGGCTCAAAGGATCGGGTCCGGGGTTCAAGGGGATCAGGCGAGAAACTTCCTGAGGGGGCGGGCGGCGCTCGGATTCTCCCTCCGCCCGTCCTACCTCGCAAGGGTGTGGGGAAGATCAGACCCGCCAGCTTCCTTCCTTCCCTCCCTGAGGCAAAACCACCCACTCTCAGGGCGGGAGGGAAACGGGCCTCGAACCCTTCCCGCCTCACCTGGTACTTGGCGCCGGGGCGGTGGCGGGCGGTGCTGACCAGGAGCCAGACGCCGCCGCCTCCTCCTCCTCCGGGCGGCTTCCCCAGGGAGAGCACCGCCCGGACGGGGCGCCCGGGGCCCGTCAAGCCGGCCGAAGGCAGCAGGCGGCTCGATACCGACACCTCGCAGGGCAGCCGCATCGCCTCTCCTTTCCCTTCCCGGCCGGTCGCTAGGCCGCCTTCCTCCTCTTCCCCCCCACACGGAGAAAAGAGCAAGAGCTCCTCTCGCCTCCGAGCCAAGGCAGCGACTACTAGAAGGAACTTCCCGCCGCCTGCGCGCGCAGCACGCGGCCAGCCAATCGGAAAGCCGCGATGAAAGGCCCAAGCCCTTCCGCTTCCGGGTCTTCAAAGCAAGGAAGAGGGTCAAGAAATGAAAAGGGGCGGAGGCTCGGCCGGGTTGTCCACGGCAGTGCCTGAAGGACCTTGGGAGGTCCTTCCCTCTTCCTGGTCTCAAGCTATTTCCTTTTTGTTTTGTTTTAAAAAAAATAAATACTGTCGGGCAAGGAGGGCGTGTCTTGGACTTTAATGGCCGCCTCTTGAAAATCCCGGAGGTCTCATTCCGAAATCCAAAGGAGGCAGCAGCAGAAAAAAAAAAAAGGGGGGCTCGTGGATTTGTAAGTGACTTCAAAATATTTATAATCTCGAGGACTATAAATTATAATTTATATTTTTACATTTGTTTTTATTATACTT